GAATGGTTCTGGGGGTGTAATAGTAGAATAGTACCGAGGATTGTCGTACAAAAGCTGCCCATTGTGAGGAAAATATAAAGAAACTAGAGCATTAAGGAAAAGTAGGAGCCAAAAATCAAATAAAAATCAGAAAGAAAAAACCAATGAGATAAGAGTTTTACAACAGGAACAACACACAACAGCAAAATATAGCTTCACAGTCCAATAACAATCAGCTACTCAGCTGTTCGTTTGAAATTACGTGCTCCAGTGCAATGGCCGCAACGACCTCCACGGTAGTCACCGTGACTCATTTCAGTCTTTGTGTTTTTCATAGAAACACAGTTTAACCCGAGGAGCCACTGGCATTGTGACTGCTAAGAGTTGCGCTAAAAAGACATCTTTTAGTTTTCCTTCATAAGTCGATAAACGATTGGAAAAAGTTGCGGCAGCGTCGTGGCCAGTGCACTAGAGTTGATATTTTGTACCTCTTATGGGACAACTGTGACAGTGTCGCGGGTCTCGGTGCTGCAGACCTTTGTATGTTTCTAGTCGACAATTTTCTACATCCCACTACCAGATCAGTTCATTTTCCTTCTCTATTTTCTACCCGGAAGGTAAACGCGAACTCTCTACCCTGCTTCTGCGAGCAAATCTAAAGCGACTCGTTCATTCTAAGTAATGAGGGAGTTGATTTGGTCATCTTCTCGGGCTTTACACATGTAGCAACGCAGCCCCAATGATATTACATTACTAAGACACAAAGGCGATTCAAATGTTCGTAATGTGTTATACGGTAACCCGAGCTAACACTCGGGCGCGTTTTCGGCATTGAAGCACGATTGGCAAAAAGCAAAAGTAAGAAGGTCTGAGAAAGGTGTTGCAAAATAGTTACTACTTACTACTCCTTGTAAGCGTCATGCTCCAAACGTGATGCTTCGCCTCGCACAACGACAGTCTATTGTGAACCAAAAAGTTTCGTAAACCTCTCTTGACCACCTTCTTGGATGAAAGGGAAAGGACATACACAGACAGCTTTCCCATTTTCTCAAGTGTGTGGATTTATATGTCGTTCTGCCTATGTGTTTGGATTACCGGTCTTGCATTGCGAAGAGGATGCAGAAACGCGGGATTGGGGCCTTCCCTAAAATCTTGATTGCTACTATTCAGGGGCCGTAAGGTATGCTTCCCCGAACATGGGAGGGTCCCCTTCCCGGCAAGGTATGCTCTCGGGGAGAGCAGATGGATAGGTGCTTTCGGGGAGAGCAGTGAGAAAGAGAGCCGAATCGGGGCGTCCCAGCCCCGAAAACGAGAGCATACCTTACGGCGCCAGAACTAGATAGCTGCCGCGCTATACACGCCAGTTGATTTCTGAGTGTGTAGTTTTGTTTAGGAATTTTCACGCAAACTACTACTACGCAATCAATGCATTATTAAAGCTGTCACCAGTCGAAATACAAACCCAGTGTCGTTCCCGTAAATTATTGAAAACGTGAACACGTTCGTCGGCATCGCAGAGTATAGATGCAGTGAAACGGCAAGGTGATGCGTAGGAGTAAAATTTCCAAATAACACACGCCCATATCGGACTGTTGAACAACGGTCCAAGAGCCAGACGTCCGTACAACATCTCACTTTTTTGTTTGAGTACATGAAGAGGAGTCGCCGTGGTTGTGGCAAAAAAATAATGAAGGACACAGATCGGCACGTACCTCGTACATTGCTTGTATGACCGTCGTATGAACGTCTGGAAGTTTTACTGCTTGCTGCACGACGACTGTTGGTCGTTGAGGCGCTGGACATCCCTGAATTTCCTTGAACTTCAATATTTGTTGGAATTATTTGTTGAGGGGTGAGAGGTAGACAAATGTTTACAGTCACTTCTACTTTTAGGATAAATGTTAGACCATATGTTGAGACATACATTTATGATGGTCGAGGATGAGCTAAGGCGGACAGCTTGTTTGATGGCCAACTCCCCTACAAACTAAGGTGTGCTGTACCATTCTAAACCCTGTTTTATTGAACATCTCAAATAGATTGTGGACTTTTATCGACCAGGGCACATCTTTCATACTTCACAATTGTTTGACGGGAAGAAACAGCTAATGCAGAGGCAGGTAAGATTACGATTCCTCATCCCAGACTCGGAAGACCTGGATACCTGTAAAACGGCAGTACTCGTATCCGCTTGATCTTTTTAGTGGTCCGCTTTGCGAACTACAATGGCAAAAGGTAAAGGGAACGTCTTGCAATGGAGAAAGCATATTGTCTTTATTGGATCTTTGGAAATCAATTTGCAATCGACAAAATTTTGATGAACGATTACAGCATTCAGTTGAGAATCGGTCAAAACAAAACTTTTCTCGAATAATCTGGACCATTGTAGCTCAAATAAGAACAAGCGAAACCTTCGAACCATAGCCGGGTTCGAAGGTTTTGCTTGAAACCTCGCCGGAGTTTGGCGAAGGGAGTTGGGGGCAATGCAAACTCACCCACCTGCTTCCATTTAAGCTTTGGATTTTCGCTTAGAAAGAAGTATTCGGAAAGTGTGTATCC